CAAATCACTACTAATAGCTGAAACAGGCCAGCTACCAGAAACATACAGTCAAATTCTCCAGATCAGGCAATGGGTATTTCCTCACAGCCTCCTCTTATCCCTTCTTAATTTCCATTCCCTACCTTCAGTATCATACCATCCATGAATCAAAAACTGGCCTTACATTTTCTCACCTATTCACCTCATTGCATTTTTCTACTCCTTGTCTTGAGGGAGAAGATTTATTTCCCAATAGCTTGTTTTACCTGGTTGCTCTCTTGCAGTAACCACTAGCCATACTTCCCTCACTTTCTGTTCCTATCTTTCCTCCCTTCACTACATTATCCTGAAAGGAATTTCTGAGATATCCACTGGTTCTTAGCACAGCGAGAGATGACTTCCTTCACGCAGTGAGGAATGCTGTTAGTTAAAGATCATCTCCCTGTTTTCTGCTGCTTCTTGTCTGAGCCCAGAGGATGTTCCCCCCTTGTAGTTTAGCTGCATGTCCTCAAGGCCAGCACCCTGACACACAGTGTCCCTCTAGGTCCAGACTGTGGAGAGCCAGCTTTGAGAAACCACAAAGGCCTCCCCTACCTGAAAAACAGACTTCATATCCTGGCTTGACCTTGGACGTGCCTTGTCACTACAGACTCCCCCGGTGGCTGCCGGACTGGTACTGGCTGTGTTTGCTGCCACCAGACTTGCCCCCGCTGACTCTGCTTCCCAGCTTGATGTTGGACCTGCCTCGAAGCAATGGATGTGCCCAGCCATCTGGGCTCTTGGCTGAACCTGGCTACACATGGCTCTGCTCTCAGGGACATGGGGCCCCTGCCCGACCTGTGGTCTCTCTCAGCTGCCCTTTCTGCTCCTTAGTACACCTTTAATTTCAGCTTCTAGGCACTGAGGGCACTAACTAGCCTTAATCACCCTGACCAGCCCCACCTGCAACCTGCCCAAGAGTTATTTAAGCTCAGCTTGGAAGGCTCTCACCCCTTTGCCTCAGAGATGCTGTAGGATGCTGGTCTCCAGTTTAGTCACAGCCCTGACTGGTGCCAAGCCCTGCTGGTGCAGAGCCAGGCATGCAGCCTGATGTCCTGCCCTGGCCTCAGCCCTGCTTCTTCACAGCAAGCCTGCCAGTGATCTGTGCTTCAGCTGGTGCTGGCACCCTCCCCTGGGTGGCCTTGCTCAGGTACTGTGTGTTGGCCCCTGCCCAGAACAGCCCCGCTGTGCTCACCCTGGGGTCCCCCTGGCTCCCTGTCCCCCAGGAGCAGCTGGCCCTTGCTGTGCCCTGGCAGCGGCCTTGCTTCCCTTCCTGTGGTGCCCTCCTCCTTTCTGCTCTTTCTACTTTTACTTGAGCCATCTGTTTAAAAAAATACAAATGTGTTAAGTTTCTAAGGCAGCTCTACTGGCTCTAAAGTAAAACAGAGTAATGTGGCTTCAAACTAAAGCATTCGACAAAACTGTTCCATGGTATATTGTAAAAATGTGTATTTTTCTGTAATTGTCACTGGAGAAAAAAAGCTCTGTTATCATCAGAACTGCTGATGAACTAGATGTCCTTGTGTGCTGTGTAATTAGCCACCCTAAACCTGAAGGATGTACATGAAATTCAAAGATAGTTACTTTGTCTGGAGAACGCTAAATATTTGTAAATACTGGAATGCTTTTGAAGGCTGAAGAGCTGCAAAATTAATTTGAAGGACTCTTATGTCAAATGTCTTCAAATGTACTCCTTATTAAGAGGTACATAGGACTTATTGTGTATCTACATTCTTTTATCTATATTATTTGAATCAAAAGGCACATGAGATAGCAGACAATAACAAAACTAGCTGCTTTGAGCAACTTCCAATACCTTCTATATCATACTTATTCCTTATGTGGAATGTGGTACTTCCAGCTGTCCCTTTCATATTGCCATCAGAAGTACCTGTATGCTCTGCTCCCAAATTCTGTCCATGCTCCAAGATGTAGAACAAACCAGGGCCCTACATGTACGTTCAGTGGTGTATGCTAGACTGGCATTTGCCTGCCTACTATGCAATTACTGCTACAGGTTTACTCTTTGTCTTGTATCTCTTTTAATCTAAAATGGGAACAGCACCCAGGATGTTACATGGGATCAGCAATATACACAACCCTCTTAACATGAAAGGATAAGAAAGTTCTACATGTGAAAGTTCTAGTAGTAGTTTTGTAAAAATGGTTCAAATATTGCTGGCCTATTCTGTGGTGTGTTTTTTTTTTTTTTTCCAAATTCAGTATAACAATTTGAAACCTGTAGTGTTCAAAAAGTAAAATCACAGAATCATCCAGGTTAGAGACTTCCAAGATCACCCAGTCCAACCTCTGACCTAACACTAACAAGTCCTCCACTAAACCATATCCCTAAGCTCTACATCTAAACATCTTTTAAAGACCTCCAGGGATGGTGGCTCCACTACTTCCCTGGGCAGTCCATTCCAATACCTAACAACTTTCAGTAAAGAAGATCTTCCTAATATCCAACCTAAAACACACCTGGTGAAACTTTAGCCCTTCTCCCCTCATCCTGTCACCAGGCATGTGGGATAACAGACCAACTCCCACCTTGCTACAGCCTTCTTTAAGGTATCTACAGAGTGCAATAAGGTCACCCTTGAGCCTCCTCTTCTCCAGTCTGAACAAGCCCAGCTCCCTCACCTGCTCATCATAAGACTTGTTCTCCAGACCCCTCACCAGCTTCGTTGCCCTTCTCTGGGCTCGCTTAAGCACCTCAGTGTCCTACTTGTAATGAGTGGCTGAAAACTGAACACGATATTTGAGGTGCAGCCTCACCAGAGCTGAATACAGGGGGACTTGCATATAATCGTATTGACTATGTATAGTAGCGTGTAGTATATATGACTTGCATATAATAGCATTTTCTCCAGGAAAAATGGTCTGCCTCCTACTTAAGGGACTGTAGGGACCGAGGACTTTGTTAGTAAACCAAGAGTGACCTGACTTGCACATAGTGACAAATCATGGGAGGAACACGCAATTCTCTCAACTGTACTTGTTTGTTTTAATTTACTACATTTTATTAAGTTACTAAGTTAAAATATTTCCATTGCCACTACTTGGAGTTTTAGAACTTTCAAAAACATTAGTTGAAGGATGTTGCAACTCCCTTATGAGCTGTAATGGTCTTCCTCTGAGTAGTCTTTTTATGACTGTAAGAAAGTTATCAGCTCATCGTTTCCTGTACCTTATGATAAATCTAGTGACAATATATAATACTTGTAGATGGGATAAGCTAGTAAATGGTCCCAGAAACAAATACAAATGACAGTAGAGGTTATAAAGAGCATAGTGCCTCAAAGTAGATGCAACTAAATCCATTTTTAAACTGTGCCTCCATTTTAATGGTCTAGCTTTCTTTTTAAATTAGACGAATGAAAATGTATTAGAGACTACTGATGTCCAAAACAAGATGCCAGTTTAATTGAATAATCTACAGCTCTACCAGTAATAAACTGGTAAGGCAAGTGTTTTATTTTTTTTCACTTGCTGCTTTTCCTGCCTTGTAACTCAATCATCTTTAGGTGGAAAAAAATATTATGCAAAACTTTTGTAGTTTGCACATTTTAAATTGTTTATACTTTATCTGATCACTCTGCAGTCAAGATATTTATATTTCAACAAAGGAAATCTAAGGGATAATGACAAAGTTGTAACAAGACGATTGTTAGCAGCTTTAAGCAATCAGAAGCTTTATGTGATGTGACTCAGGCAGGTTTGTCAGGGCTACTTAATTAAAGCTGAATCAATGGTTTGGTGCAAATTCAAAAGCACTTACAGGTTGTGTATTTAGCAAATGTTCAGAGCATGTTTTAAACTCAAAGTAATAGATGGAAATGAGTATCAAAAACCTGTACCACAATTCTTTAAATGGTCTTCTTGGCTACACAATTAGCACTTGGTACAGGTTTTTATGGAACTATTAACAAAGGCAGCTTTATAGTCATGAAATCCGTTACTGTCTCAGGAGACTTTCAGCTGGTTTGACTGCAGACAGATTTGCCTCTCTCTAACAGTATTTCTCTTCTAGACAGACAACCACTACAAAGAACCTTGGATATCCCAACATAGCTTGAGCTGTTTGTATCACTCATGGTCAACAAAAGGCAGTATTCCTATTTTAATGCTCTACTTCTTGGTTTTATCTTGTCCTATGTATTTGTAATAAGATTACTAAGCTGCTTGTTTAAGTGTATTTTCCCATGCATTAGTAAGCCAGCATGACATTATACAACTCACAACTAAAAAAAAACCTTGCTGTTTTCCACTGAGTTAAGCCCTGGCAGGCTCAAAAGCACCTTAGAAACTGGGGTTGCTAGAGGAGCTCTAATGTGACTGTCATCAGTGGATCTTAGAGCAGCTGTGAGTAAAGCTGTCACACCTGCAGGCAGTAACATCTATCCTTTACTGAGGGGGGGGGGAGTAAAGTAGTGTGTCTCCCTCCCCTGCTTTAAGTGAGGGGGTTGAGGGGTGAGCATTGTCCCACGGGAGGTGCTCCAGGGATGTGTGGTGCTGGAGCACCCCCTGAGGTGTTTGTGTCCCTGAGGCTTTCACTGAGGCCGACACAGTTCTGCTGTGGTGCTGACCTGATTTATCGAAGCCCCCACAGGCGGCACCTGATCTCTCGTAGCAGGAGAGGGCTGTTACACGTTCCTGTCGCTCTTCTAAAGCCAAATGATAGCAATATCGGTGGTAACACAGAAGCAGAAACACTTCTGAGGGGGCTTACATGAACGCGGGCAGCTGGAGCATCTCTGTGGCCCTCCTGAGGGGAGTGAAAGCAGCTGGGCACGAAGAAGCCGGAGGGGGCCGGCTGCGTTAGGGCGCCCGGCAGCCCAATGTCGCTCGCTCCGTACCGGAGCGGGACGCGGCCAGGGGCTGCCTCCGACCCGGGACGGCTCCTGACAGGGCCAGGGCCGAGCCCCGTCCCCGGCCGCCCTCCCCTGGGCGGCCGCGGCCCCGCCCGGAGGCGGAGCGGAGCGGGCGCTGCCCTGGCAGCCCCGGGACGCGGTGGGACGCGGCCGCCATGCTGGGAGCCGCGGGCCCCTTCCTCCGGCCGCAGCGGCGGGCAGGGGCCGAGGAGCGGCGGCGCAGGGTGGCCCCGCTGGCGGCGAGCCCCCCGCCGGCCGAGCGGGGAGAGGAGCCGCTCCTCCGGGGCATCTTCGAGATCGGCAAGAGGAGCTGCGACGTGGTGCTGAGCGCCCGGCGGCTGCGCTGGAGCCCCATCGTGCCCGAGAGCCCCGCAGGTGGGACGGGCAGGGGCTGTCGGGCAGGGGCAGGGGGCGAGCCGAGCCGAGCCCGTTGTTGCAGGGCAGGGCATCGGGGCTTCCCGGCACGGGGTTACCGCGAACCGCCGCCTGGAAGGGGGTTCCGAGCTCCTCTCCCCCCTGGGCTTGTCCTGGTGCTTAATAAAAAGAAAGAAATAAAATAGCTCAGAGCGCAACGAGCGGCTTGCACCCGAAGCACCTAATCCTGCAGAGAGCCTGCGCTGCTTAGCGGGTGGCGCAGAAACGCGAGGTGCGCGGGGTGTGCCCGTAGCCCCTCGGCAGCCCGGTGAGAGGGCTGGGTGCCATCGGCTCGCCCAGGGGTGCCCGGGGGCTTGGGGCGCCTTCCCTTGCCCCGACATGCCGTGGGGGTACAGTGTTATAGGATGTGGTCAAGTGAAACAAAGTTCGTGCCAAAGCTTAGAAGGAAAGGAACGCCCCCAAACTTACACAGATAGTCTTTATTTATTTGTTTATTTATTTATTTATTACTGGAAACTCTGAAAACATAGTCACTTTCAAAACTACGTACGTACTCCTAGCAGTGCCCGTTTACCGCAGTGACCTCCCAGTGCTTACGTGAAGGATAAGTCGAAGCTGTGTTTCAGGAATGCGGTTTCCAGACAGCACAGCTGTGTGCTGTTATGGCTCAGTTAGCTTCTCCAGGCCTAAAACTCCAAGTTCAGTTTAGCGTCATTTCTGAAGGATCTTAAAACTTTTGTACGGGTAAGATGTGGCTCCAGAGCTGTGTGGAAGGCAGTTGTTCCCATGCTACTGCTGCAGTGGAGTACTCAAATACCCGGAGCTGAGGTTACGCTTAATTTCACGTAGCATGTAGGGACACCAGAGCTACTCAAACCAAGCCATGTGGTGCCATGCGCAGCTGCTGGCTCTTGGCCTCTGAACAGTGTAACCACATTCATGCTGTGTTGTGCAAAGACACAAATATCTGCTTTTCCGCAGGGCTGTTCAGTTTTTAGTCTGTGCTGATGTTTGTACAGACCTTCCTTTTGTGCAGCCAGTGTGGCAGTTTCAGTAACGCACAGCTCTGTAGCCTCTCCTCCTTGCCGTTTGGGACTACCTACAGGTCTCTATGTACATGATCTGAAGTGTAATTTGTGAATTATTTAGTTCCATGTGGAACGCTCTAGTTTGATTGCCATTTTATGTGCTAGCTACTTTAATGTAGCTTGAATCGTCATATATCAGGAACTATAAGTCCATGATTGTTTTTAAATTGTTACCAGTGGTGGTTTTAAGGTACAAACAAGAAAAATGAGCTTCATGCTTACAGGGATGGGAATACATTGTTTTTTTTTTTTTTTTTTTTGTTTTTCTATGAAAGGTCAATCCCCCTAAACTGCTACTTTGTGTAAGAGCTTTTCAGCCTGAGCTTGCTTACACAGACAAGGGGAGATTTTCCTAGTTCCTGTGAAGTAATAAAGTACTCTGTGTATAAAGTCAAACATATTGCAGATGGCAGAACTAAGCAGCATTGACAAGTTGATGTCAATTACTCCAGGATTTGGACTTTTACTGCACATGCATTAAATAGATGCCAATACCTGAGACTCCTTCCCTTGGGCTGGCACAGCTCTGTGCATGCCTGCCTGTGTCTGTAGATGAGCTCAGTTGGAGCTGAGGATTTCATTGTGCTGGGCTTGCTGCCCTTGCAGGGATGGATCTAGTGGAGGGCTTGTCTGTTTTGCCTTCCATCTTGGATGCTGGAGGTCAGGATGGTATTTGTTTGGCAATCGCTGAGGTCAAATAGGGATTTTGGAATTTGGATGTCTTTTCTCTCCCACATTCTTGTATCTCAGAAGCAATTACTAGCGGGTGTCGTGAGTGTGGGACTCGTGCTGGTGCTGCAGGAGCTGCCTGTGACTGCCTCATTCTGTGTGACCACAGTGCAGTGGTGCAGTGCATGGCCTGAGCTGTGAAGGTACAAGAGATGGCTGACGGCTGTCTGAACAGCATGTATCACTCTCAGTGGTCCATTCCCCTGGGATTTGCTTTAAGCATACTTTCTCCAGACCAATAGCTTCATAATGTAATTTACCTTAGGCTCAAAAACATGCTTTGCCAGGTGGCCTGAATTTGACACTAAATGTCTCCTGCTTAGTCCTGTATGTACTAATTCTTCCTGTTTTAGGACAAGACCTTTCTTCTATGGCAGTCAAGTCAGAGGAGTGCCAGGTACTCTCTTTCTCCTCTCTTCCCTCCCACCTCAGCAGTTTGCCAAGATTACTCCTGTCCTGATGAAGTCCTTGTTTGTTATCTGCAGTTCTGTGTTTCCCATTATAAGGCAGCTTGTTCTGCCTCAGCTCTTTCAGCTCAGAGCTGCAGCTTGATGTTCCCAAGTACATGACATCTGCTTTCCCTGGGTTTGTTCATGTAAACCCTGACATGAGCACAGTTCTGCCCCGCCGCACTGTTTCTGTGGAGCTTTTGGCCAATGTGATTACTCAGCAAACTCCCTTCTTTACTCTCCCCTTGCTTTCTGCAGCAGCTGTCTCTTAGAGGGTTTTTGTTACCTCTCTGCTCCAATAAGAATGATCCGTTGCAAGTTTCCTGCGTCCTCTGTGATAGCAAAGCCTAGGGCAGAAGCAAGGTCTGGGCCAGTGCCTGAGCCTGGGGCCTGAGGGTGAGGATGCAGGGGGTGGTCGAGGGGGCAGCGTGGTACAGGGCCTGGCTGCCCCACCACGAGGCTGCTGTTTGTGCCCGGGGGTGCTCAGTTCAGCCCCTTCTCGCAGCAGCCTGCTGCTCTCTGACACCTGCCAAGTCACTTGCTTTTAATGACGCGTTGGATGCTGGGATGAAAAGCAGAGCTTGCATGCAGCCGTTACTGGTTTTTACTCATTTCTTTCCATGTGGTTTTCCTATGCCATAAAAGTCATCACTGAAGTTAAGGAAAGGCAAGACCTCTCTCTGCGTTAGTAATCCAGCTCAAACTGTAGGGCTTCTAAGTCTGGATGCTGCTGCAAAGCAACAGCAGAGAAAGCTGTCCAACCTAAGTGATTCTATGAAAAACAGATCCGAAGATTAGCTGTGGTTTTTAGAAATTTCCAGGAGATAATACACTTGACAGAATGACAGAAAAATAATTATTTGTATTTAAGAAGAGATGCTCAGGGTGCAGTATTTTTTCACTGTGGCTAAAGTTTAAAAGCTAAGAAAATATAGGGGATTAGCAGTGGTGGATGTGGGTGTTATATATATTTTGGAACGGGTCAGCTTTCTTTATTCTGTTCTTCCAATATTACTTTTTTTTTTTTTATTTTCTGTTGAATGTGAATGAGAACTTTAATCCTGATAACTTCCTTAAAGCCTGCAGCATCTTTTTGAAGATTTTTCAACTGTGAAACTCTGTGGGAATTGCAGTTTTTCAGCAGATTTCTATCAGATAGGAAACTAGAGGTTGGACTAGGTGATCTTTGGAGGTCTCTTCCAACCTAGATGATTCTGTGAAATGGAATGAGAACAGCACTGACACAGTTTTTCACCAGTATGGGAAGCATGGAGGCCTTTGATAATTATGAAAAACCTTTTTATAAGTGTATCTTGTTGTGTGTGCAGTGTACTTGACTCAAAGGTATATGAATCCATTCTCTCAGACTGACAACATGTAGGCTGAGTAGTTGGGTAATAAACCTGTCAGATAAAAACTTTTTTTTTTTTAATATAAGTAATTTAATACAATATTCTAAATTAATTGACTGACAAGGAAGTAATATCTCTGGAGCAATCACGAGGTCAGCATATTATTGACTATATATTTTTATCATGAGTTAAAGATCAATGTGTAGTTTAAGTATATATAGTATAATCTTCTTGATATGCATTTAAAATAAGAATTTATAAATATTTTATGTAAGTGCAGCAATAAGGAAAAAATCACTGATGTATTGAAACAGTGAAAGAGTTAGCAATAAAGGACTTAAAATTAATTCCGAGTGCATAGTGGCCTGCTGCCAAGGCTATTTAGGAACAGATGTGGGTGAAATAGATACCAATAGTCTGTTTGGGATCTCTAAAGTAAGACATCTGTCAGTCTATTGGTCAGACAGGAATAATGGAAATGGGAACTGGCTGTTACAAAACGTGAATTACCAAAGTTGTACGTTGGTCAAACTGAAAGCTTTTGATTCTCTGCCTGATGTGTAGAGAACATAATTTCTCTAAGTGGTTTATGTATTGTCCAAGTAGGAAAAGGCATAAAAATACAAAGTATAACTGAGAATGTGATGTGTATTTATCCCATGGATATATGGTTTTAAGATGTAAATTGAAGTAAAAAATCATACAGTCTTAAACAATCCCAAAGTGTCTAAACATGAAAGAGACTCAAATCTTTTTCAGGGAAGTCCATAAAATGTATATCTCTTAGGAAGAATGTTAATTTTTAACTTTTTGCCAAAAAAAAAAAAAGTATTTAAGGAAATTGAGTATATTATCAGTCTCACAAATACATTTGTTATTTGAGGCTACTTCTAGACATAATGTCTTGATTTTCTGTGTGTCTTTTTTTCCTTTATCAGCTGGTCAGTCTGGGAGAGTCCATGGCTAGCTGTTGGTGGAACAATTTACATTGCTTCATGTTTTCTGCTGTTTTTCCTATACTTCACATGTTTATGCACCTCTCTGAACATGTTGAAAGGGATTAACATACCCTGGACATCTAATAGGGGCTTTTGTATGTATTTTGATTCTCTCTATCCAAAAAGAGCAGATATTGAAATCTTTGTTCCAGAAAATAAGTTTCTTTGCTAGGTCTTGCAAATTGCATTGCTGTATGTTTGGGTTTACATGCGTGTTAAACAGCATGTGTTCATGACTTGCTTCACAGTGTGATGTGAGTTTGAGCTAACAGGATCCCAAAGTCATTTAGCTTTCACATAAGTAATAACTCTCCTTCATGGCATTTAGGTTTTAATAGAAATGTATTTCTGTTGCCGATATTGTGTGTTTTGTTATCGTAGAGC